TCTATGGGTTTCTGTGTGAGTGGTCTATGGGTCTCTGTGTGAGTAGTCTATGGGTCTCTGCGTGAGTAGTCTATGGGTCTCTGTGTGAGTAGTCTATGGGTCTCTGTGTGAGTAGTCTGTGGGTCTCTGTGTGAGTAGTCTATGGGTCTCTGTGTGAGTCTATGGGTCTCTGTGTGGTGAGTCTGTGGGTCTCTGTGTAAGTAGTCTGTGGGTGTCTGTGTGAGTAGTCTATGGGTGTCTGTGTGAGTGATCTATGGGTCTCTGCGTGATGAGTCTATGGGTCTCTGTGTGAGTAGTCTATGGGTCTCTGTGTGAGTAGTCTGTGGGTCTCTGTGTGAGTAGTCTGTGGGTCTCTGTGTGAGTAGTCTATGGTGTAAGAGCCACAAGACAGAAAGTGAGTGTATTATTTCTGTATATACATTTGATGTACATCCGTCATACATTTGTTGACGGACTGGTTATATTTGATTTGGAATATCCCAACTGTGTAGAAACCCCCCTGTGGCTAGACGCTCCGTTGGTTGAACCCATGACGTCACTTCCGGTTTTACAGTAAAAACGGGGAGCTACGAGAAGAGCCGAGGGGAGCGAGTGGATACAGCACGTGACGCAGCACGTGACACAGCACGTGACAGCACGTGACACAGGGTGACACAGCACGTGACACAGCACGTGACACAGCACGTGACACAGCGGGTGACACAGCACGTGACACAGCACGTGACACAGCAGGTGACACAGCGGGTGACACAGCACGTGACACAGGGTGACACAGCAGTGACACAGGGTGACACAGCACGTGACACAGGGTGACACAGCACGTGACACAGGGTGACACAGCACGTGAGACAGGGTGACACAGTACGTGTGATGGGGTGACACAGTACGTGTGACGGGGTGACACAGTACGTGTGACGGGGTGACACAGTACGTGAGAGAGGGTGACACAGTACGTGGGTGACACAGTACGTGACACAGGGTGACACAGCACGTGACACAGGGTGACACAGTACGTGAGACAGGGTGACACAGTACGTGAGACAGGGTGACACAGTACGTGAGACAGGGTGACACAGTACGTGAGACGGGGTGACACAGTACGTGTGACGGGGTGACACAGTACGTGAGACAGGGTGACACAGTACGTGACACAGGGTGACACAGTTCGTGAGACAGGGTGACACAGTACGTGAGACAGGGTGACACAGTACGTGCGATGGGGTGACACAGTACATGAGACAGGGTGACACAGTACGTGCGACGGGGTGACACAGCACGTGACACAGTACGTGACACAGCACGTGACACAGGGTGACACAGGGTGACACAGTACGTGAGACAGGGTGACACAGTACGTGAGACAGGGTGACACAGTACGTGAGACAGGGTGACACAGCACGTGAGACAGGGTGACACAGTACGTGAGACAGGGTGACACAGTACGTGACACAGGGTGTACGTGACACAGGGTGAGCTACCAGCTACCACTGGGGGCTCCCCTAGGCCCAGCTCACACCTACTACTGGCTTCAGACTAACACACAGGGACAGCTGCCACTGGGGGCTCCCCTAGGCCCAGCTCACACCTCCTACTGGCATCAGACTAACACACAGGGACAGCTGCCACTGGGGGCTCCCCTAGGCCAGACCCACACCTACTGGCATCAGACTAACACACAGGGACAGCTACCACTGGGGTTCCCCTAGGCCCAGACCCACACCTACTGGCATCAGACTAACACACAGGGACAGCTACCACTGGGGGCTCCCCTAGGCCCAGCTCACACCTACTACTGGCTTCAGACTAACACACAGGGACAGCTGCCACTGGGGGCTCCCCTAGGCCCAGCTCACACCTCCTACTGGCATTAGACTAACACACAGGGACAGCTGCCACTGGGGGCTCCCCTAGGCTCGGCTCACACCTACTACTGGCATCAGACTAACACACAGGGACAGCTGCCACTGGGGGCTCCCCTAGGCCCAGCTCACACCTCCTACTGGCATCTGACTAACACACAGGGACAGCTACCACTGGGGGCTCCCCTAGGCCCAGCTCACACCTCCTACTGGCATCAGACTGACACACAGGGACAGCTGCCACTGGGGGCTCCCCTAGGCCCAGCTCACACCTACTGGCATCAGACTAACACACAGGGACAGCTGCCACTGGGGGCTCCCCTAGGCCAGACCCACACCTCCTACTGGCATCAGACTAACACACAGGGACAGCTACCACTGGGGCTCCCCTAGGCCCAGCTCACACCTCCTACTGGCATCAGACTAACACACAGGGACAGCTACCACTGGGGGCTCCCCTAGGCCCAGCTCACACCTCCTACTGGCATCAGACTAACACACAGGGACAGCTGCCACCCAGCGCCCCACACTCCTGGTGACAGAACGCGTTCACACTCATCTCGTAGGTCAGTCGGTGTGTGGGCAAGGCGTAGGTAGCACCGCGCCCGGCCGCCTTTGTCTCTCCGGCGCTGATGTTTTACACATCGCGAGAGGTAACTCATTTGAGGCTGAGCCGACCTAGGGGAGCGCCATCGATCAGTTGAGATAAGTGCTGCTGTGCCAGGCTCCCTGACAGGAGGCCATGGGTTGACTGAGATGACTGGCTATGCCCCCCACTGTGTCAACTTGATACGGTTTAGCAACCCGGCGCTCCGCTCGTTATTGTGAGCGTCGCTCCTCTGCCCTCTGCTGTTACCGGAGGGCGACTGCCTCCAACTGCTCAGTAGCAGCAGCGTCCTTCACGAGCCTCGTCCATAGAGGGCGATCTTGACACCGCTGGTACCAGTCATGGGCAAGTCCGCTCAGCTCCACATCCTCCCGTACCACATCAGCTCCATCTCTTCTCCAGCCCGTGTCGTGCCCGTTTGGCCGCCTCTGTTCGGCCAAACAGAAGCTGCTTGGGCATGCGGTGGCTGGGCATGCGGGCTACATGACCCGGCCTACCGGAAGAGCTCACTGATGGGACTTCGAGGATTTGCGAGTTCCTCACACAATCCAGCCTTGTGGTTAAACCCACGATAGGCCGTAGGTAATTCACCCATCACCACCACCATAACCATCATTACCATGACAACCATCACCTGTTTGACGTAGAGAATGAAATCATTGAAGGCAAGATGTAAACATTTATTATTCAGTCAAAGTACAAATTTGTCAACAGGAAAACAGCCTTAGCTCCTCACTTAATTCCTAGATCCGCGCAACCTGAAATCAACACCAGTAGCCCTTTTCCACTTCCACATCCGAGCCAAGCCAGAGTGGTATGGGTGGTGTTTTTCCACTTCCACATCCGAGCCAAGCCAGTGCGGTATGGGTGGTGTTTTTCCACTGCCACATGCGTGTCAAGCCAGAATGGTATGGGTGGTGTTTTTCCACTTCCAAATGCGTGTCAAGCCAGAATAGTATGGGTGGTATTTTTCCACTTCCACATCCGAGCCAAGCCCGTGTGGTTGGGGGGTGTTTTTCCACTGCCACATGCATGTCAAGCCAGAATGGTATGGGTGGTGTTTTTCCACTTCCACATCCGAGCCAAGCCAGAGTGGTATGGGTGGTGTTTTTTCACTGCTACATCCGAGCCAAGCCAGAGTGGTATGGGTGGTGTTTTTCCACTGCCACATCCAAGCCAACCCAGTCTGGCTCCTCGTGAGCCGTAGAAGGGGCTACATGGGCATTCTGAAACCTCTCGGCTCATAGCGCACACACCCTGGTGTTCATTTCTTAAAGAGTTCAACAATAACACCTCTCTCTCTCTCTCTCACAACGGTAAAATATTTTTGGTTGTTCTTGTTTACGTATTTTAAGACTTTTTTTTTCAATGAATTCATAACACCAAGGTCACAACGTATTGTTGGGCACGATGCCCGACGTTTCGCACCACGTCCTGCTGCTGCTAGGAGCCAACCAAGTACATCTGCGGGTCGAGGTGGGCGAGGTGGTTACCCACCCACACTTTACCCCACCAACACCGCCGCCACCACCTGCAGATGATTGCAGTGAAACCGATTTACACTGCTGCTGCTGCGTGGACAGAGGTGGTGGTGGTGGTGGACACGGTGGTGGTGACGCGGTGGTGGTGACGGTGACAGTGGTGACGGTGGTAGTCGTGATGGTGGTGACGGTGGTGATGGTGGTGGTCGTGATGGTGGTGTTGTTGACGGTGGAGGAGGTGGTGACGGTGGTGGTGGTGGCGGTGACGGTGGTGGAGGTGGTGACGGTGGTGGCGGTGACGGTGGTGACGGTGGAGGAGGTGGTGGTAGTAGAGGTGGTGGCGGTGAAGGTGGTGACGGTGGTGACGGAGGTGGTGACGGTGGTGGTGGCGGTGACGGTGGTGGAGGTGGTGGTGATGGTGGCGGTGACGGTGGAGGAGGTGGTGACGGTGGTGGTGGCGGTGACGGTGGTGGAGGTGGTGGTGATGGTGGCGGTGACGGTGGAGGAGGTGGTGACGGTGGTGGTGGCGGTGACGGTGGTGACGGTGGTGGAGGTGGTGGTAGTAGAGGTGGTGACGGTGACGGTGGTGGTGATGGTGGTGGTGGCGGTAATTCTGACACCTGCACCTACCATGTTGCCGTGCCGCACCGGGAGATTGTAACGAAAGCTACGGCTGCCTCCGCTTGTCTTAAACCACGACAACCCAAGCCTAACTGGACATCTGTGAAAAAAAGAGCTTCATAGCTCATCGATAGCTCTCAAAGCAGCAATGCTGTGTCCGGAAATACTTTTGTAATTATTTTTTTAAATAGTTTTATTTAATGGTCAGAAAGTGATGATGAGAGAGAGATAACGAGATGAGAGAGATAAAGCGATGAGAGATAAAGTGACGAGGGAGATAAAGTGGTGAGATATAAAGTGATGAGAGATAAAGTGATGAGAGAGATAAAGTGATGAGAGATAAAGTGATGAGAGAGATAAAGTGATGAGAGATAAAGTGGTGAGAGATAAAGTGATGAGAGATAAAGTGGTGAGAGATAAAGTGATGAGAGATAAAGTGATGAGATATAAAGTGGTGAGAGATAAAGTGATGAGAGATAAAGTGGTGAGAGATAAAGTGGTGAGAGATAAAGTGATGAGGTCCACTGAGCTCTGGTTAAATAGAGACTAGTTTAGATTTAATAGAGACTAGTTTAGATTTACTAGAGACTAGTTTAGATTTAATAGAGACTAGTTTAGATTTAATACAGACTAGTTTAGATTTAATAGAGACTAGTTTAGAATTAAATAGAGATTCGTTTAAATTAAATAGAGACTAGTTTAGATTAAATAGAGACTAGTTTAGATTTAATAGAGACTAGTTTAGATTTAATAGAGACTAGTTTAGATTTAATAGAGACTAGTTTAGATTTAATGGAGACTAGTTTAGATTAAACAGAGACTAGTTTAGATTAAATAGAGACTAGTTTAGATTTAATAGAGACTAGTTTAGATTTAATAGAGACTAGTTTAGAATTAATAGAGTTTAGATTAAATAGAGACTAGTTTAGATTTAATAGAGACTAGTTTAGATTTAATAGAGACTAGTTTAGATTAAATAGAGACTAGTTTAGATTTAATAGAGACTAGTTTAGATTTAATACAGACTAGTTTAGATTTAATAGAGACTAGTTTAGAATTTAATAGAGATTCGTTTAAATTAAATAGAGACTAGTTTAGATTAAATAGAGACTAGTTTAGATTTAATAGAGACTAGTTTAGATTTAATAGAGACTAGTTTAGATTTAATAGAGACTAGTTTATATTTAATAGAGACTAGTTTAGATTAAACAGAGACTAGTTTAGATTTAATAGAGACTAGTTTAGATTTAATAGAGACTAGTTTAGATTTAATAGAGACTAGTTTAGATTTAATAGAGACTAGTTTAGATTTAATATAGACTAGTTTAGATTAAATAGAGACTAGTTTAGATTTACTAGAGACTAGTTTAGATTTAATAGAGACTAGTTTAGATTTAATAGAGACTAGTTTAGATTTCATAGAGACTAGTTTAGATTTAATAGAGACTAGTTTAGAATAACTTAGGACATTCGTGCTATGAGGATGCACTCCCCTAACCTTGGTAACTTACCGTTTAATACTAAGAGACACTTTTCAACTTACCTTACGCAAAGGTAATCTAGACGGAAAATAATATTATACTTTACACTGTATAGTAGCATAATAAACAAACTCACGTAAATAAATTAAACAGCGAATCAAAATAATGTTATTCTGATTCATGACCAATGTATAAAATAGTTATTAATTTCAGTGCATTTAATCATTGTTTAACTTCATTATTTTAGCTTTGTGTGTAGTATAATGGTAAGAAAAACCCCAAGTTCATTGTACTGAATCTTAGTTCACAGAATGTACGCATATAGAGGTATTAATGTTGTTGCTGTGTTTGATTCTCTTTGTATATATTTGCGTGTGAAACAATCAATAAAATATTTAATACACGTATTTAATAAATACATTAAATATAATAAATATACTTTAATTATCACTATTAACATATTAAAATGTAGCGTAATTATTACGTACTTTTGAAAATATCATAGAATACGTTTAATAGCTGCTGATTAAATGTGTCCTCGCTTATCAAACCTAAAGGTGAGTAATTTTAACACGTGCAAGAAATGTAATAAAGTCGTTGTAATCCTCAGCGACAATGCACGCCGCACAGATTACACTTCTTCAATGTTGTCTGTCACCATGTACGTAAAACCAAAGCAATATAGCAACAAACATAATGCCATATGTAAAATAGTGCACAACAATCTAAATGTCTGATAATTGTATCGATGAGAATGGGCTCTGCCCCATTTCTGACAGACGTTTCGATGTTCAAACACCAAACTGACAAGGTTCCATGGATCGATAATAACCGCTCAAGCCGAGCTCTAAGTGCCCCGACAACTTGCACTGCCCGTGAACTGTTCACATCTTGGCGTGCTCTGGTCTTGCATTGCTGGTGAGACGAGGTCAAATAGAAGCCTGGAGCTCTGCTGTAGGCTAATCAGTTTCAAAGAGAATGCGTACATTCATATTATTATTATTGTTAGCAGAGGGTGTCTGCATGTTTTGCCACAAGTTAGCTGCTGATAGCTGCTGTGCTGTCTATTTGGTGTTTGAACATCTTTAACACACCTCCTGTGCCACTGCCAGCAAGGTTTGATCAGTAATCTTATAATGGACTCATCGGACGCTGGTGAAGTTGGGTCCACGTGTGATCCGGATCGCCCCAAACGGCTGCGTCTGCTCCAAAGCGATAATACGGTGCCCAGCCAGTTCTGTACACGTACACACATAGACACTTAGACATAGACACACACATAGACACGTAGACATAAACACACACAGACATGTACACACACACATAGACACGTAGAGATAAACACACACAGACACGTACACACACACACAGCCACTTAGACACGTACACACACACACACACATAGACACGTAGACACACACACACATAGACAGGTAGACACACACACAAAGACACGTAGACACACACAGACACACACACAGACACACACATACATAGAAATGAAGACACACACACATAGACAAGTAAAAACATAGACACGTAGACATGTAGACACATAGACACGTACACACACACACAGACACGTAGACACACACACAGACATAGACACGCAGACACACACATACAGACACACACACAAAGACAAAGGGGCACCACGGTGGTGAGTGTTGTTTGTATGTGGTATGTGTGTATATATGTGTGTGTATGTTGGCACAGTAGGGGGCACAGGTGGTGCACCAGCCAGTCATCTCAGTCAGTCGACCCGTGGCACCTGGGTCTGCCCCGTGACCTCGTGCCCGCGGGCGTTCGACACTTCACGTGGCCTCAAGGTGCACATGGCCTGGCACAAGCGTCGTGGTGACGTCACCGCCACTTAGTGGCGAATGGCGGTTGTTGTTGTTGTGTGTATATGTGTGTGTGTATATGTGTGTGTGTATATATCCGGCAAAACCCCCTACCTCCTCGCGGTGCCGGATGGGCAACTCTGTCGTGGACAGTGCTGTGGGGGGAGGTCCAATTTCGATTGGCTCCTCCCCTCATGGCATCTGTGTCCACCACAGGGGCTAAACGGGGGCTCTGGACGGGTGCGAGGGGCTGGTAACCCCTCCACCTTCAATTAATTACCACTAAACTACAACTGAAATATATAACTAATAAGCTTGTGCCGGAGGCCCCGGGGAGCCAGGCGTCTATGACGTCTCCTGGCCAAACCCCAATTGGCGGAGCCAGGAGATTGAATATCTACCCTCGGGGCTACTCTAGAAACAACGAAAAGCCACTACGGGTGGCCACGTGGAATGTTCGAACGCTCACTGCGGAAGAGAGGCTGCCACTCCTCTGTCGGGAGCTGGACCGGTACCGCCTGGATCTATGTGGCATTCAGGAGGTCCGGTGGACCGGTTCTGGCTCCTGCCACCATGAGGGGTGGACAGTCCTCTACTCGGGGCAGCAGACTGCCAAACAACAGGGTGTGGCTCTTCTTTTGAACAAAAGAATGAAGGGGGCGTGGGAGCGTGGCAGTGAGGTGTGGGAAGCTGTAAGCCCCAGGCTACTTTGAGCTCGCCTTCCCATCAACCGGAGGCGAGGAATGGTGGTCGTGGTTACTTATGCCCCCACCGAAGATGAACATCCGTGGAGGGATGCAGGCAAAGCCGATGAGTCAGATGCCTTCTATGACCTCCTGTCACAGGTGCTGGCAAAAGTGGCCCCTCGGGATAGAGTCATCATGTTGGGTGACTTCAATGCCCGAGTTGGTCATGATGCTGGCACCTGGTCTGGAGTGATTGGAGGGCATAGGCCAGATCAGCTCAATAACAACGGTAGGAGGCTGCTAGATTTTTGTGCAGCCCATGGGCTTGTAATTACCAACACGCTGTTCCGGCATCGGCGCATCCACACATCATGGATGCATGCCGGGTCCAAGCAAGAACATCTGCTGGACTACATAGTGACGGACCAGCGGATGCGAGCCCATGTCCTTGACACCAGGACCTCATTCCAACCTAAAGTGGCCTGGTCTCAGTTATCTGATGAAAGTTGCAAGCGAGAATTTCATCATCGCTTGCGGCTGGGATTGGCATCGTCCCCGACTCCTCCTGACGTCGAGGGTAAATGGGCGAGGTTTAGGACTGTGGTTTAGGACTGTGACTCATGCAGCTGCAATGGCTGCTTTGGGTACGCGGTCCAGACCTCCCCAGAGACCCTGGCTGACAGAGGAGGTGTTCAGGATGGTTGAGAAAAAGCGACAGGCCCACTGTCATCGGCTACAGAATCCCACGTCAGAGAATGAGGAGGTTTACCGCAGCCTTCGCTCGGAGGTTCGGAGAGCCGTGAGGCGCTGCAAAGATGGGTGGTGGTCGCGGTTTGCTGAGGAGATGGAGTCTGCCTCAGTGGCCCGTGATCACAAAACTCTATTTAACTCTATCAAAAAAGTAACCTGCAGCGCCACACCTATTACCATCATTAGGGGAAAAAACGGTGATCCAATCTGCGACCCCCAGGAACAGGTTTGCAGATTTGCTGAGCATTTCTGTGAGGTCCTGGTGGAGGGAAAATCCCTCAGCCAGGAAAACATCGTGGCACAAAGTGAGGATGACCCTGCTGAGGCTGCGGTGCCTCAAATATTGGAAGAAGTCACCCCCTGTGAGTGGCTGGCTGAGGTGCCATCTGTTGAGGAAGTACTGAGGGCGATCCGGAGTCTGAGACCAGGAAAGGCAGCGGGCAGAGATGATCTCCCAAGCGAAATGCTGAGGGAGGGTGGCGTTTGTGCACAGACTGCCCTATATGACATCATAACAACAGTCTGGACCACTGGACGGGTTCCGTAGGATTGGAAGGATGCCCTCTGGTGGTCCCCCTTTTTAAGAAGGGGGACCGCACAGACTGTAACAACTACAGGGCATCTCACTCCTCAGTGTGCCGGGAAAGGTCCTGGCAAGGATTATTCAACATCGCCTTGCCAGGCACGCTGAGGAGAGGCTTGCGGAGCCCCAATGCGGTTTCAGGAAAGGGCGGTCCTGCACAGATGCCATATTTTCTGTCCGTCTGCTACAGCAGAGGTGTAGGGAATTCCAAAAAGACCTACATCTCTGCTTTATTGACCTGGTCAAGGCCTATGATACCATCAGTAGGCCTGGGCTCTGAGTTGTTCTTCGTGCTTTTGGAGTACCTGACCCTCTGCTTATGATCATTAAGGACCTTCATGATGGTGAGCGGGCCCGGGTAAAACTACGTGGCCGGGAGTCAGAGCCATTCCCTGTACACCTTGGGGTGCAAAAGGGATGTCCTCTGGCTCCCACATTATTTAACATCTATTTTGACCACGTAGTTCGTGAAGCCTTCAATAGCTGTACCGGGGGAATCTCCATATGGTACAGATATAATGGGAGGCTGATCGATGCCCGGGTGCGGTCAAGGGATGGCTCCCTATTGCTCAACCACGTTATGTATGCTGATGATTTGGTAATAGCTGCTCATTCAGAGGAGGAGTTGGAGACGCTGCTGCTGAGACTGGAGCGTGCCACTAAGAGGTGGGGCCTTACCATCAGCCCCACCAAAACTAAGCAACTGCCTGGGTATTTTGTACCATCGGACACTACACCCCCACAACTCCCAATTGGTGATGGGGCAGTTGTGGAGCGAGTGGAGAGTTTCCCATACTTGGGCAGTGTGCTTATGATAGGCTCCAGTTTAACAGCAAAGGTCTCACTCCGAATCAGTCGAGCGGCAATATCTTTTCATCGGTTGCGTAACGCTGTGTGGAAGCTGCCTGGTCTGTCGCTCCGCACTAAGCTTCAGGTCTTCTCGGCCATGGTCATTCCCTCCCTTCTCTACACTTGCGAAACGTGGACCCCCCTAATGGAACATCTTCGCCGGTTAGAAACATTTAGGCTGGCCTGCCTACGATCCATCCTGGGTTTAACCAGACTGGATTGTGTGAGGAGCTCACAAATCCTTGAAAGATCTGGGCAAGGTCCCATCGGTGAGCTCCTCCGGCGGGCAAGGCTGCGATGGCTGGGTCATGTAGCCCGCATGCCCAGCCACCGCATGCCGAAACAGCTTTTGTTCGGCCGGATTGAGAGGGCTAAACGGGCGCAGCATGGGCTAGAGAAGAGATGGAGTGATGTGGTACAGGAGGACGTGGAGCTGAGTGGACTTGCCGATGACTGGTACCAGCGGTGTCAAGATCGGCCTCTGTGGAGGAGGCTCGTGAAGGACGCTACTGGGCAGTTGGAGGTAGTCGCCCTCCAACAACAACGGAGGGCGGAGGAGCAATGCTCACAACAATGAGCGGAGCGCCGGGTGGCTAAAGCACAGCAGTTTGGCACAGGAGGGGGCACAGGTGGTGCATCAGCCAGTCATCTCAGTCAGTCGACCCGTGGCACCTGGGTCTGCCCCGTGACCTCCTGCCAGCGAGCGTTCGACACTTCACGTGGCCTCAGGGTGCACATAGCCTGGCACAAGCATCGTGGTGACGTCACCGCCACTTAGTGGTGAATGGCGGTTGTTGTTGTGTATATATGTGTGTATATATGTGTGTGTGTGGTACGTGTGTTGTGTCTGTGTGTGTGTTGAGTTTACCCAAACACATATTGAAGACTCTGGCTGCCATGCCACGTGTTGTGCGGTCATGTGGGATGAGAAGGGACATAAGTGTGTCATCCATCTCTCGTGTCAACTCCTCGATGCGCCTGTGCACACGCACACACAAACACCCCCATATACATTTCGATTTAAAGCTTTCGTGACTGCAATGATTCATCTTCTTTGGTTCTTTCGGTAAAGTCACGTAGAATGAGAATAAAATAATAAATTGATAAAATAAAATAACACAATAATATTCTCACGACGTTTCGGCCACAACACAAGCGGCCGTCATCAGGTGAAGGGACGAGACTGTCTGGTAGGACTACTCACACAGAGACCCATAAACTACTCACACAGAGACCCAGAGACTCACACAGAGACCCACAGACTCACACAGAGACCCAGAAACTCACACAGAGACCCATAGACTCATCACTCCAGCGCTGTCCTACCAGACAGTCTCGTCCCTTCACCTGATGAAGGCCGCTTGTGTTGTGGCCGAAACGTCGTGAGAATATTATTGTGTTATTTTATTTTATCAATTTATTATTTTATTCTCATTCTACGTGACTTTATCGAAAGAACCAAAGAAGACCCCCATATAGACTTTAACAGACTGTTATGGCAAGTGCTGTTAGCGAGTAGCACCTATAAAGGCCGGCACGGTGGTACACGAGGGGGCAGGTGGCCATAGTCTCATCACACAGAGACCCATAGACTACTCACACAGAGACCCAGAGACTCACACAGAGACCCATAAACTCACAGAGACCCAGAAACTCACACAGAGACCCATAGACTACTCACACAGAGACCCATAGACTACTCACACAGAGACCCAGAGACTCACACAGAGACCCACAGACTCACACAGAGACCCATAGACTGATCACACAGAGACCCATAGACTCACACAGAGACCCATAGACTACTCACACAGAGACCCATAGACTACTCACACACATACCCATAGACTACTCACACAGAGACTCAGAGACTCACGCAGATACCCATAGACTCACACGAAGACCCATAAATTCACACAGAGACCCATAGACTCATCGCACAGAGACCCATAGACTTACACAGAGACCAATAGACTCACACAGAGACCCATAGACTCATCACACAGAGACCCATAGACTCACACAGAGACCCATAGACTACTCACACAGATACCCATAGACTACTCACACACAGACCCATAGACTACTCACACAGAGACCCATAGACTACTCACACAGAGACCCATAGACTCACACAGAGACCCATAGACTCACACAGAGACCCATAGACTCATCACAGAGAGACCCAAAGACTCACACAGAGACCCATAAACTCACAGAGACTCAAAGACTCACGCAGATACCCATAGACTCACACGGAGACCCATAGACTACTCACACAGAGACCCATAGACTCATGCAGAGACCCATAGACTCACGCAGAGACCCATAGACTCACACAGAGACCCATAAACTCCTCACACAGAGACCCAGAGACTCACACAGAGACTCAGAGACTCACGCAGATACCCATAGACTCACACGGAGACCCATAAATTCACACAGAGACCCATAGACTCATCGCACAGAGACCCATAGACTCACACAGAGACCAATAGACTCACACAGAGACCCATAGACTCATCAGACAGAGACCCATAGACTCATCACACAGAGACCCATAGACTCATCACACAGAGACCCATAGACTCACACAAAGACCCACAGACTCACACAGAGACCCATAGACTACTCACACAGAGACCCATAGACTACTCACACATAGACCCATAGACTACTCACACAGAGACCCATAGACTACTCACACAGAGACTCAGAGACTCACGCAGATACCCATAGACTCACACGGAGACCCATAGACTACTCACACAGAGACCCATAGACTCACACAGAGACCCATAGACTCATGCAGAGACCCATAGACTCACACAGAGACCCAGAGACTCACACAGAGACCCATAGACTCACGCAGAGACCCATAGACTCACACAGAGACCCATAAACTCACACAGAGACTCAGAGACTCACGCAGAGACCCATAGACTCACACAGAGACCCATAAACTCACACAGAGACCCATAAACTCACACAGAGACCCAGAGACTCACACAGATACCCATAGACTCACACAGAGACCCATAGACTCACGCAGAGACCCATAGACTCACACAGAGCCCCGTAGTTTGTTGTCCTTCACCCCGCAACCTCTGATTATTACAGTTGGCTATGTACGATGTGAAAGAGGTTCAACATACACACATACGTATACATACATGCCCGTATACAGGCATCGTCAGGGCCAGGATGGAACCCACGACCTCCTGTAGACCAGGCGAGGTAGTTAACAACTCCTAGCCACCGTAATGATGATGAGAGACACAGACTCAAAAATATACAGCAGCAGCAGGTGTCAGGGTGGGGATTGAACCCAGTGACGAGAATGTTAACTACCTCGCCTGACACACAGGAGGTCGTGGGTTCGACCCCGACCCTGACGCCCGCAGTATATTTGGAGTTTGTCTCTCTGCCCGTTGTAACGGTGGATTTGTCCTTCAGTTTTTCCCTAAACACCTCAGTGGGCACTCATTGTTTTTTTCGGTAAAGTCACGTATGTAGAAATACAATAAAATTATATTAAAACCAAAAACAATCACGACGTTTCGATCACAACGCAAGCGATCTTCATCAGGTGTCAAGAACAAATCACGGAGGTAAATACAACAAAAAGATGAGAGACGAGAATTCAACAAACCTGAAAAAACATTACGTGAAGCACATCCAGTCAGGTCAACAGCACAGTTAGACACTTCCTGGCGGACCACGAATTTCACAAGAGAGTTAAATTTCGTGTTCAACCTTTGGATTGCACATACCAGCATAGATAGAATGAAAAATACGAGGTACACGGTCAGTAGAAATACATATACAAGTCCACCAAGAGGTAAGGAGGGAGGAAAGACGGACAGGGAGGCAGAGAGAGAGAGAGAGGGGGTGGGGGAGGCCGGAGGGATGAACAGAAGCTTAAATAGGAAGTACGGTTGGAGGGGGGGAGGGGCCAGAGCGAGAGCGGCAGCTCAAACACGCAACATCTTACACACATGCAAAACGGCACCTCAGTGGGCTTTACCTGGCAAGATAAAAAACAGTGCAGTTGTAATTTTTACATATTTTTTTAAGTGATGTGTTTACCTCTCCGATGCTTTGCACTGCTATCGAGTTTTCCGTATTGTTTGTTCTTATGACGTTCTGACCCCGTGCCCCTTCACTGCACACCTGTGACATTTCCTCCTCCCGTATATATAATAATAAAAAAAAAATCTCCTGATTCTGACTTACTGCAGGAGCTGATTCCGCATCGCCGCCGCCGCCGCTTCCGCCGCCTGGAGCGGGGATCGAACCCTGGCGGGAGGCGTGGGGGAGCGCGAGGGCACCGCGGGGAAGCGGGCGACTGCAGGGGAAGCTTCCTCCACTGAAGCCTCCATCATATCCACCTCCTCCGGCACCGCCGCCTCCATCACCACATCGTGAACCAAGGCTCTGGGAAACCTGGGCAACACAAACGGGAATGTGGTGAGTCTATGGGTCTCTGCTGTGTGATGAGTCTATGGGTCTCTGCTGTGTGATGAGTCTATGGGTCTCTGCTGTGTGATGAGTCTATGGGTCTCTGCTGTGTGATGAGTCTATGGGTCTCTACCGTGTGATGACTCTATGAGTCTCTGTGTGTGATGAGTCTATGGGTCTCTGCTGTGTGATGAGTCTATGGGTCTCTGCTGTGTGATGAGTCTATGGGTCTCTGCTGTGTGATGAGTCTATGGGTCTCTGCTGTGTGATGAGTCTATGGGTCTCTGCTGTGTGATGAGTCTATGGGTCTCTGCTGTGTGATGAGTCTATGGGTCTCTGCTGTATGATGAGTCTATGGGTCTCTACCGTGTGATGACTCTATGAGTCTCTGTGTGTGATGAGTCTATGGGTCTCTGCTGTGTGATGAGTCTATGGGTCTCTGCTGTGTGATGAGTCTATGGGTCTCTGCTGTGTGATGAGTCTATGGGTCTCTGTGTGTGATGAGTCTATGGGTCTCTGCTGTGTGATGAGTCTATGGGTCTCTGCTGTGTGATGAGTCTATGGGTCTCTACCGTGTGGTGATTCTATGGGTCTCTGCTGTGATGAGTCTATGGGTCTCTGCTGTGTGATGAGTTTATGGGTCTCTGCTGTGTGATGAGTCTATGGGTCTCTACTGTGTGATGAGTCTGTGGGTCTCTGCTGTGTGATGAGTCTATGGGTCTCTGCTGTGTGATGAGTCTATGGGTCTCTGCTGTGTGATGAGTCTATGGGTCTCTGCTGTGTGATGAGTCTATGGGTCTCTGCTGTGTGATGAGTCTATGGGTCTCTGCTGTGTGATGCGTTTATGGGTCTCTGCTGTGTGATGAGTCTATGGGTCTCTGCTGTGTGATGAGACTATGGGTCTCTACTGTGTGACGAGTCTATGGGTCTCTGCTGTGTGATGAGTCTATGGGTCTCTGCTGTGTGATGAGTCTATGGGTCTCTGCTGTGTGATGAGTCTATGGGTCTCTGCTGTGTGATGAGTCTATGGGTCTCTGCTGTGTGATGAGTCTATGGGTCTCTACTGTGTGGTGATTCTATGGGTCTCTGCTGTGTGATGAGTCTATGGGTCTCTGCTGTGTGATGAGTCTATGGGTCTCTACCGTGTGGTGATTCTATGGGTCTCTGCTGTGATGAGTCTATGAGTCTCTGCTGTGTGATGAGTCTATGGGTCTCTACTGTGTGATGAGTCTATGGGTCTCTACTGTGTGATGAGTCTATGGGTCTCTGCTGTGTGATGAGTCTATGGGTCTCTGCTGTGTGATGAGTCTATGGGTCTCTACTGTGTGGTGATTCTATGGGTCTCTGCTGTGTGATGAGTCTATGGGTCTCTGCTGTGTGATGAGACTATGGGTCTTTACTGTGTGACGAGTCTATGGGTCTCTGCTGTGTGATGAGTCTATGGGTCTCTGCTGTGTGATGAGTCTATGGGTCTCTGTGTGTGATGAGTCTATGGGTCTCTGCTGTGTGATGAGTCTATGGGTCTCTGCTGTGTGATGAGTCTATGGGTCTCTACCGTGTGGTGATTCTATGGGTCTCTGCTGTGATGAGTCTATGAGTCTCTGCTGTGTGATGAGTCTATGGGTCTCTACTGTGTGATGAGTCTATGGGTGTCTACTGTGTGATGAGTCTATGGGTCTCTGCTGTGTGATGAGTCTATGGGTCTCTGCTGTGTGATGAGTCTATGGGTCTCTACTGTGTGGTGATTCTATGGGTCTCTGCTGTGTGATGAGTCTATGGGTCTCTGCTGTGTGATGAGACTATGGGTCTTTACTGTGTGACGAGTCTATGGGTCTCTGCTGTGTGATGAGTCTATGGGTCTCTGCTGTGTGATGAGTCTATGGGTCTCTGTGTGTGATGAGTCTATGGGTCTCTGCTGTGTGATGAGTCTATGGGTCTCTGCTGTGTGATGAGTCTATGGGTCTCTACCGTGAGGTGATTCTATGGGTCTCTGCTGTGATGAGTCTATGAGTCTCTGCTGTGTGATGAGTCTATGGGTCTCTACTGTGTGATGAGTCTATGGGTCTCTACTGTGTGATGAGTCTATGGGTCTCTGCTGTGTGATGAGTCTATGGGTCTCTGCTGTGTGATGAGTCTATGGGTCTCTACTGTGTGGTGATTCTATGGGTCTCTGCTGTGTGATGAGTCTATGGGTCTCTGCTGTGTGATGAGTCTATGGGTCTCTGCTGTGTGATGAGTCTATGGGTCTCTACTGTGTGATGAGTCTATGGGTCTCTGCTGTGTGATGAGACTATGGGTCTCTATTGTGTGATGAGTCTATGGGTCTCTGCTGTGTGATGAGTCTATGGGTCTCCGCTGTGTGATGAGTCTATGGGTCTCTGCTGTGTGATGAGTCTATGGGTCTCTGCTGTGTGATGAGTCTATGGGTCTCTGCTGTGTGGTGAGTCTATGGGTCTCTGCTGTGTGATGAGTCTATGGGTCTCTGCTGTGTGATGAGTCTATGGGTCTCTGCTGTGTGATGAGTCTATGGGTCTCTGCTGTGTGATGAGTCTATGGGTCTCTGCTGTGTGATGAGTCTATGGGTCTCTGTGTGTGATGAGTCTATGGGTCTCTGCTGTGTGATGAGTCTATGGGTCTCTACTGTGTGATGAGTCAATGGGTCTCTACTGTGTGATGAGACTATGGGTCTCTACTGTGTGATGAGTCTATGGGTCTCTGTGTGTGATGAGTCTATGGGTCTCTGTGTGTGATGAGTCTATGGGTCTCTGCTGCGTGATGAGTCTATGGGTCTCTGCTGCGTGATGAGTCTATGGGTCTCTGCTGTGTGATGAGTCTATGGGTCTCTGCTGTGTGATGAGTCTATGGGTCTCTGCTGTGTGATGAGTCTATGGGTCTCTACTGTGTGGTGATTCTATGGGTCTCTGCTGTGTGATGAGTCTATGGGTCTCTGCTGTGTGATGAGTCTATGGGTCTCTACTGTGTGGTGATTATATGGGTCTCTGCTGTGTGATGAGTCTATGGCTCTCTGCTGTGTGATGAGTCTATGGGTCTCTACTGTGTGGTGATTCTATGGGTCTCTGCTGTGTGATGAGTCTATGGGTCTCTGCTGTGTGATGAGTCTATGGGTCTCTGCTGTGTGATGAGTCTATGGGTCTCTGCTGTGTGATGAGTCTATGGGTCTCTGCTGTGTGATGAGTCTATGGGTCTCTACCGTGTGGTGATTCTATGGGTCTCTGCTGTGATGAGTCTATGGGTCTCTGCTGTGTGATGAGTCTATGGGTCTCTGCTGTGTGATGAGTCTATGGGTCTCTGCTGTGTGATGAGTCTATGGGTCTCTGCTGTGTGATGAGTCTATGGGTCTCTGCTGTGTGATGAGTCTATGGGTCTCTGCTGTGTGATGAGTCTATGGGTCTCTGCTGTATGATGAGTCTATGGGTCTCTACCGTGTGATGACTCTATGAGTCTCTGTGTGTGATGAGTCTATGGGTCTCTGCTGTGTGATGAGTCTATGGGTCTCTGCTGTGTGATGAGTCTATGGGTCTCTGCTGTGTGATGAGTCTATGGGTCTCTGTGTGTGATGAGTCTATGGGTCTCTGCTGTGTGATGAGTCTATGGGTCTCTGCTGTGTGATGAGTCTATGGGTCTCTACCGTGTGGTGATTCTATGGGTCTCTGCTGTGATGAGTCTATGGGTCTCTGCTGTGTGATGAGTTTATGGGTCTCTGCTGTGTGATGAGTCTATGGGTCTCTACTGTGTGATGAGTCTGTGGGTCTCTGCTGTGTGATGAGTCTATGGGTCTCTGCTGTGTGATGAGTCTATGGGTCTCTGCTGTGTGATGAGTCTATGGGTCTCTGCTGTGTGATGAGTCTATGGGTCTCTGCTGTGTGATGAGTCTATGGGTCTCTGCCGTGTGATGCGTTTATGGGTCTCTGCTGTGTGATGAGTCTATGGGTCTCTGCTGTGTGATGAGACTATGGGTCTCTACTGTGTGACGAGTCTATGGGTCTCTGCTGTGTGATGAGTCTATGGGTCTCTGCTGTGTGATGAGTCTATGGGTCTCTGCTGTGTGATGAGTCTATGGGTCTCTGCTGTGTGATTAGTCTATGGGTCTCTGCTGTGTGATGAGTCTATGGGTCTCTACTGTGTGGTGATTCTATGGGTCTCTGCTGTGTGATGAGTCTATGGGTCTCTGCTGTGTGATGAGTCTATGGGTCTCTACAGTGTGGTGATTCTATGGGTCTCTGCTGTGATGAGTCTATGAGTCTCTGCTGTGTGATGAGTCTATGGGTCTCTACTGTGTGATGAGTCTATGGGTCTCTACTGTGTGATGAGTCTATGGGTCTCTGCTGTGTGATGAGTCTATGGGTCTCTGGGGGTGATGAGTCTATGGGTCTCTGCTGTGTGATGAGTCTATGGGTCTCTACTGTGTGGTGATTCTATGGGTCTCTGCTGTGTGATGAGTCTATGGGTCTCTGCTGTGTGATGAGACTATGGGTCTTTACTGTGTGACGAGTCTATGGGTCTCTGCTGTGTGATGAGTCTATGGGTCTCTGCTGTGTGATGAGTCTATGGGTCTCTGTGTGTGATGAGTCTATGGGTCTCTGCTGTGTGATGAGTCTATGGGTCTCTGCTGTGTGATGAGTCTATGGGTCTCTACCGTGTGGTGATTCTATGGGTCTCTGCTGTGATGAGTCTATGAGTCTCTGCTGTGTGATGAGTCTATGGGTCTCTACTGTGTGATGAGTCTATGGGTGTCTACTGTGTGATGAGTCTATGGGTCTCTGCTGTGTGATGAGTCTATGGGTCTCTGCTGTGTGATGAGTCTATGGGTCTCTACTGTGTTGTGATTCTATGGGTCTCTGCTGTGTGATGAGTCTATGGGTCTCTGCTGTGTGATGAGTCTATGGGTCTCTGCTGTGTGATGAGTCTATGGGTCTCTACTGTGTGATGAGTCTATGGGCCTCTGCTGTGTGATGAGTCTATGG